CTATATGTAACCAAATTATGATTTCTACCACCATTTCTCCCTGTGTGTACTCTGTCACCCCCATGCCATCCCCTCGGTCACCTTTCTGTATAGACAGCCTGCAACACTAAGCAGGCTCTACCCGCCCATGCTGGGCCACCTCACATGGACATACCCACTTCATTCTGCTGAGATTCTCACCCACTGTGTCACACTGTCCTGCTCTCAGTGGATGCCCTCCTCGTTTCACTTGGGCTCTGACTCCCCCACTGGACCAATTCTCCGTGTGGCCACACTTGTAACCTTGCTCAGTCTCTGACACCCTAGGTCAGGCCACCCTTGTCTACACCATCCTCAGTCCACTCAAGCTCTGATATCTACTGTGGCTCCCCCAGCCCCCTTCTTTTGGAGTAGATGCCAACCTTGCTCTACTTTCACCTAAAACAAAGATTTTCAACCTTTTTCTCCTCCTGGCACACATACACTAATTATTAAAATTGTGTGGCACACCAAAAAATGTATTTTTTGTTGATCTGACAAAAAACAGGTATAATCTTGATTTATTCACACCAGACAGCTACTGTTGAGTTGGGTGTTGTCAATTTTTCATTTGACGATCTAAAGGAAGAGAGGTCAGCATCCCTCACTAAATAGTCAGGTACTGCATGTTTTAAAAATTCTTGCGGCACACCAGTGTGCCTCTTCTGGCATTCGTAGACCTAAAGGCTTTAGAACTGCATTGTTCAGGAAGCAAAGGGGGAGAGGCGGGAGAAGAGCTCCTCTTTGTTTTCCACACCTTCTCTGACACAATGAGACTGTCAATACGGTAAAGAAAGGACTATTTGCTTTCAACAGGACAGTTTGGTGCTTCACCTGAGTATGTAGGGAAAATTATGCCCACATTTATTTATCCCCCAAAGGGTTTTGTCATCAAAGGCTCTGATTACTTCTACACTTGGAGCACCCTCAGCATTCTAATATTTAATTGCTATTATTACCAAGATCACTTATTTGTGGATACTGCCTCCTATTTCTTTTTTATTTCATTTCTGTATTAGCTCAGAGGTCCTTACCTGCCCCATCTCATGGTACTCAGCTCTTTATGTATTTTTTTATATATTAGTACACATTGTTGAAGGCCTGGCCCACATTGGTATAATACAATCAGGGTGGGCTTAGAAGTCAAACAGACTTGCATTTAAATCACTCTAATTTATCCTTCTTTAATTTTTTAACATAAGATGTATACGCCACATGGTAAAGCATTCTCTAAATGTCCGTTCCCATCAAGCCTCCCTTCCTGACAAAGTCTCATGTTTGTGCATGTGTGTGTCTATCGGCCTCTTTTTTCATTGCTTTTCCTTTGAGAACTGAAACCTGGGAAGAAGAACTTGAGGCATGTGATAACTGATAGATAACAATGGGCTGAAAAATAGAAAATCGGTCTAATTTCTCATGAACTTTTAAAACCTATGTCATCTGTTTTTCTGAGAAGTTTGTGACCCACTGAGACTTTCTGGGACTCTCCAAAAATTTGGATCTTGACAGTTTCAGAACTGTCTGAAGGTCTTTCGTGCTGTCCCTGCAGTGTTCTCAGAGCCAATAAATACACCATCAGAGGAAAGGGAAGGTGGATCTGCCTCTTTCTAAGCTTGATATACCAAGAGCACATTCTGCCATCTACTCCTGTCAGAGTCCTTCCAGGTTTAGCTTACTTGCCTCATTCTCTCCCAACCATGTATCATTGAGTCATGAGGATTCCCTGTTCCTTCCATGCTTTAAAGACCATTCTAAGGGAAGCTAAACTACAAAACCTGTAAAAACTGTGTTGGTCCAGTCTGCCCCAGTTAGGTGGGAAAATCTATGTTCATTGCTATATAAAAAGATTTATTCTGTTGGATTCTGCATTATGTTCTTGTCTTTGAACCACTTCTGCCAAAAACTGTACTTTTTCCTTGGCTATTCTATTGTAATTTTACAGCATAAAATCCGCCCTCTGATTACACTGAAGCTGTGCAGAGAGAAGGCTAGCCTCTCTCTCCTATGATGGGATGGAAACTGTTATCCTTGCCCCTGTGACACCAGGGTACAATGGGAAACTGTGCTTAGGTAATCATCAGAGTTCAGACCATGTCAGAGAGGTGCAGAATGGTTTCCTTTTTGGAGGGTTTAATTAAAATCATTACTTAAAAATAAGCATTGTGACAATATCCTGATTGGGCTATTTTCAAACTGTGGAACACCTATGAGAATCCAGGATTTCATGAGAAAAAGTGCCTCCTCCTGTTTCATACATGTGCATTTGCTGGATTCCGAAATTTAAAGAAATCTATTAGTGTTCTGGTAATGGCTGCATGGGTTATTTTATAGTTGTCTAAAAATGAGAGGTGTATCAAAATAATTTAATATTTTGTAATATTTTAGAGGGTCATTACAATACATTCTCTTTTACTCAGTAAGGATTAAATAACCAAGTCTATGTTTTTTATTGCTGATTTCTACGATTAAGGCAAGTACATATAAGCTGAGCTGATTGCAATATAAAGAATTATTCTCTTGGGTCCTACTTGTATTCATTCTCCTTCTACATTTTAAAAACCCATTTATCAATTACTCTGCAGTAGTAACCAGGACTCAGCATGCACATAACATCTTCTCATATTCCGTTGCATTCTTCCCAAATCATAAGTGTGTAGTGGGTACGTGTACGCCCACCCACACTCACAAACACATATGAACACCAGCAAGCACTTATGATAGCATCCAAATATATTTACCCATAATTACATTCTAGGTGTTTTATTGAACACAGATATTTTTGCATTCATTTGCAGAACCTGAAAAGAAGCCATGCTAATGTTTGGAGTCTTAAAGCAAACTGTAATCTTATAACAGTGAGGTGAACCTCAGAGGCAGTAGTCTTTTGATATGCGGCATAAGTGAAATGCTGCATAATATAAAATGATGGCGCTATTAATCCTACTGGCACTGGTGGTGCCCAGCCCCCCCTTCGGTATTGATACCAACACCATTGTCTCTGGCTTTAAACTTCATCAGTATGCAAACGGAGTGTCACTATGATGGGTGGTAACTTGGTTGGATGCACTTTCTACATTTCTGGCAAATGAGTATAATTATTTTCAGAGCTGCGGGCAACTCATGCATGTTTTATCCTCCATCTGGACCGGCACGGTACACAATAGTGATAAAAGATGATTTTCCCCCTTGGATGTTCACAGGCCATCATCGACACAGTCCTGATGAAATGGCCATGTATCCCCTAGCAGTTCTATATCTGCCACAGCTTGACAACAAAATTATTTCCCCATAGTACTAAAACACTTCAAATATTCAAGCCCTCTGTGCATATATTTGTGTTTTGAAGCATTCAGCGTTAACATAATGTGGTAATTTATAAACTGACAAATTAACTATGCAGAAATCACAGAGAGGCCTTATGAGGTCTGCAAAGCAGCAGAAAAGAAAGCAGAAGCTTTTTGCACTCGGTAATAATAATAATCCTATCAACTGTCGCAGATTGCCCGGCCTCCCATTGTTAGAGCCTCGCGCTCTAAAGCTTGCTTACTGTAGGTGATTCTGCCGGAGATGTCTCGCCTCAAACCACTCCAACCAGGAGGCTTGGCTCAGGCTTAATGTGCCATCCCTCTCCAGGTCTGGAACTAATGGGGAAAAGGGCACCAATAGAAAGACGCAAGTTGCTCATATCAATCACTGAGAGCCAGAAATGGATGTGTGGGATGGAATTTGGGGAGAGTGAGATTTGCCTTCAAGACAGGAAGTGAATTTAGGACTGGCAAAATCAATAACAGCGAAACTGAGATTATGCATGTGAAAGGACGATCAGCCTTCTTTGTTTCGTGGTTATAAAATCATTTTAATGATTAAAATCCATCATCTTGCTGGTCCGCTTTAGCAAACGCTGGCAATCCTTACAGGCCCACTATTGATCCTCAGACAGACAGCTGAATGCAGGCAGCATTCATCAAAGGATGCAAAAGAGCACATTTTCACTTTTATTGTATTAGCCTAATTCTCTTTCGGATGAATTAAAGACTCATTTTGCTAGACCAAGGGGAGTGTCTGTGTATCTTCTGCTGCCCCCCTCTGTTTCAGGTGTAGATTCTTAGAAGGCAGAATTCATTTTACAGAGGCAAGAAAGTATTTACAAATTCTTTCTGAAAACACAGAACATTCCTTCATGAGATGGCACACCAGCCTCCCTTCCTTCCCCACTGTACCCCGTCTCCACCCCGCCTCCCCCAGCCACTCCACCCACCCACACAGGCACACTTGCTCTCTTACAGATCCACACATGCATGCTACACACACACACACACACACACACACACACACACACACACACCGTCCTTTAAATGGTATGTACCATGCTACGAGGCCTACCAAACATCAGACACTCTTTATCAGCAGTTGTGCCAGGGTCTCCATGGCAACAGTATAATAGATTTGCCCTTATTCAATCCCAGAGGCCACATTGAAGCGCAATGCAAAATTTGCTGGGGCCTGAATTCCTTTCAAGCCATGGCTCATGTGTCAGGAAACAAGTCAATGCACAGACAGCACTGCACATAAAGATGGAAAGGAACCTTTTCTCTCCACTGCTGTTTGCTCACAGTGACATTCAGAAGCTCGGGCCCTAGATCTCATTTCTGTTTCATTTCCTAGTTATTAATTCACTTCTTTAGGTGGAGAGGCAAGTGGGGGAGGGGAACACCATGCTTTGCAATAATAAACCGCCAACAAAAGTGCAAAGCAAGCTGCATAAAAACGAAGCAACAATCTCAGCCTCCAAGGTTATATAGGATTCAATATGGCTGAAGCCCACCCCAGCTGTGAACTAAATTCCAGGGTTTGTTGCGCTCCAGTGCCAGGCATGGCTGAACAGCCCAGCCAACTTCCTCAACCCACCCTGGAGTGGTGGCATCTTGTGATCCTCAAGCAGCCTTCCCCAGGGAAGGACAGGCAGAGGAATGGAAGCGTACCCTTGTCCTGAAGCCAGTCTCGGCAGGCAGGAAGAATTCCCGGGAGCTCACACCTGAACTACGCTGTGGCTAAAACAAGCACAGCTTAAAAGTTAAACAATCATTTGTTTCAGGTTTATTTTAATCATTAGCTTTGGGACTTACAAGATGATTACTTTGTGGGTTAATTATTTTCTGTGCTGTGGCTTTCCAAACCTAATTGCTCAACTTCATTATTGTACATAGTGATCCATAGCTGCTTCCTAAAATTACCCGTCCAAATATTTTCCCTTTTGATTATTCTGAGAATTTGCTATTTTTCTCCCTGAGTTGGAACTTTGCATAAATGACTTGGTTGTGAGATGCTTGTGTGATTTTGAAGATTACTAGAGATATCACGGGCATGTGATAGAACTCAATTGGCGATACTATTAGAATTTGAAAGAAAATCTGTAAGGGGCCTTTGCCTGATTAACTTCAGGACAGTGGTTCTCATACTTTAACATGCATACAAAGCACCAAGTATTATGAAAACACAATTTCTTGAACCTCATCTTCAGAGATTCCGACTCAGTAGGTCAGGGTCAAGGCCCAGTAGTTTGTATCTTTAAGTTCACAGCTGATGCCAATGCTGCCAGTCCAAGGCCCAGGCTTTGAGAAGCTCTGCTTAGGTCAGTTTCCATGAGTGAATGTTCCTCAGCCTCTGACTTAGTTTCCTTGGACTGTTTACCATGGCATCAACTTGTGTTCTCCTTAAAGGGCATTCCTTACCATCCTAATGTAATTATTCCCTTGCCTGATGCTTTGGACCTACAATTTCACCCACTGCCTGGGACACAAAGAGGGTGGAAGCCGTGGAGAAGAAAAAGAGTGTCAGGAGCTCAGGATGCATCCTCAGGACTAGTACTGTGGCTGCCATGTATTAGGACTTAATCAATATTTGTTGGAATACATGAGTGAATAAATATGATAGAATTTCAAAGCTTTCTTTAGGAAAGAGATCTTAGTCAAGGATATAAATGCTCTATGTCTTATTTATATTGAAATATATGTTTGTTTTTAAAAGTGACATATGGATGCTTTTTGGGCAGGTGATTATATAATCAATTCTTCTAGGGAGCTGGAGCTATTGGAGGAACCACTATAAAAAGCCAAATCTTTTATAATTAAAGAGTCACTCTGTAATTTATTTTTACAAGTTTGGGATTTCAGGTGAGAAACATTGCATTTTCATTTGAAGAATCACCAATTTTACTTTTTACTGAACAAAAAAGTAAAGGTGTACATTTTTTCCTGATGCAGAAATTTGCAATCATCATTTGCAATCATCATTTATTTATTTTCATTTCCTGCTGTTGCTGATTTGACCCTAAAATCTGGGCCATTTTAACAAATTTGTAACAACAAAAAGTTGAGTCAGTATCACATAACACTGATTTTAATGATTCCACTCATTTTGACCAGTGTTTGGTTACCTGTACAAAGTGAGCTGTGACTTGGGACAGTGGGGGGCTGGAGTGGGGAGGGATGGGAGCGAAGAGGGAAAGAAACTGAATTACAGTGACCTTCTTTGTGAATCCCTTAATTTACATGAATTGGTGCTAGGTAATGGCAGTGTTTTTTCACCATAGTTCACAGTATGTCTTCAGTTCTGAGATTTCTCTTTCCAGAATGAGGCCAAGGACATGAAAGTGGGCAACCTCTCAGCAAGGACAGAGTTGGGCCCTCTCTGCCCCTCCAGCAGGGGAGACCTGGTGGAGACTAGAGAAGAGTTGGCTTCTCTTCCCCACCCTGCCCCTTGCTTCTACCCTAAAATAGCATCATCCCACATGCACTGGTGGGAAATAAAAGTCTCTTAAAATAAATCCAAATATACAGAATTATATTATTGTTAAACTAGATCTTTGAGAGATTGGGACTTAATGCCTTTTGCCAGAGAAGGTAAATGCCAAGATCATGCAACTTGTCACGGGCAGAGAGGGGACATGAAACCCAGAGCCTAAACTCTGACAGAAGTCCTATGACACCGACCTGCCAGGTGCTTCATCCTCCCAAGAAAAGAGACCTGTCACACTGCTTGAGTAAACGTCTCCCACACTCGCCATCCTGCCACAAGCTACCTAAAGGGGAAAGTGAATGCAGAGTGCTATCAAGCTCCAATTCAGCAAATACTTCCTGAGCCCCTGCTCTGTGCCGAGTGCTGCACTGCACTCGGACAGCACCAAGTGAATGGGACACAGCAGTTCATGACAAGGTGGTTACAACTCGGGGAGTCTATTTTTCATTGCTTTACAATAGCCGCCTCCTCTGTAATGCTTTACACATGAGAGTACACCCAGAGAGTCTGGAGCCACAGATTAAACTGTGAGGAGGTTGCTACCTCCTCAAGTTTCCATTTTCCTTGATCATTACTACTCTATTTCCCTGATTTTATGAAATCAAATTTTTTTCTTACACACATTAAGCTTTGGAAATCTGAAAGGACGATTCTCATGCTCAAATGATGCCTTAACTTGGTGGTTGTCCTCTTCCTTTTTTTCAGATAGAGACCAAGCTGTATCTTAGAAATGGGGAAGTCAAAGAATTTGAAATGTTATTTTTATTGTTAAATATTTCAGAATACTGCACAATGTGTCAGTTTTAGGTACTTTTTTAAAAGCTAAACAATTATAAGACTTCAAGAAGTCTCTCCTTGTGGATAACACTTGCAGGTTCTACCTCCAGAGTCCCTGAAGTTTGACTTTGACTTTTAGCTCCTCTGCGTGCCAGGTACTTGGTGGGGTGGGGGTGGGGGCACTGAGAGGCACTGGTTTAAATGATGCAGTGTTTCTAAATGCCAACACGAGAATGAGAAAAGGTCTGAAGGGGGAACACAGTGCTGAGCATCTGAGTTAGAACCTGGACCTGAAAACAGTGAGGCACAAACGCTTCTCCACGAACTGATTCATTTTATAAACATGCCCCACCACATGCGCGCGCGCGCACACACACACGCGCGCGCACACACACACACCAAGAAAGCTGTTCTATCATTTCCTGCTGCATTTTTGTGTTTTTCCACCTTTCCCCTCAGCTCACTCCTTTGTGACCCCCGCAAACTTTAGACCCCACTTCTTCTCACTGCCCTACCCGGCCACCTGCCCAGCCCTGGACTTGTCGGTAATGACCCGCAGACTAAGCCTTTCTTGCCGAGTGGAGCGAGGCCACACTGCTGTCCTCATCGCTGTCCTCATGGCTGCCCTCATCACAGCCCAGACAGGACCCTCATCAGCAGCTGCACGAGGCTTCCCATCCCAGCCCATATAAAAAGAAGGCCTGGAGAGTCTGTCAGGAGCATCAGTTCAGGGGTCCCACGGCCAAACAATCCACAATTGTTCAATGGCTCCAATTCATTTTCCTCTGCTCCACCCCCACCGTTACCCTTGAGAGAAAACTAATTTGCAGAAAAATAGCCCCTTCCAGCTAACTTCTCTTCCTAAATGTACGATGACCTTAAATTCTTGTCTCTGTGGACACTTAATTCTCATAGTAAATGCACAAGAGCTCTGAAACGCAGTCTTCTCCTTTAAAACCTCTCCCCTCCAGTCCCCACTCTGGGAGATGCTTTCTTTTCCTTTTAGTCTCGCTTCTCTTTTTAACATGTGTGCTGAAATTGGCACTTTCTCTTTTCAGTTCACTCCCTTCCTAGTATTAATGCAGGCAGCAATGGAGAAATGTGCACAATTTTTCCAGCCTCTGCACTCACCGAACCCAGGGGTGATGGATTAAATGTAACAGGCTCTACCTTACATATCACTATTTAAGCGAAGCGCTGTGCGGCCCGTGATGCATGGTGTCATCCCCAGCGCCCACTGCAAGCAGGGGAGCAGGCTGCCTCCACTGTTGTCTGAGTAAATAATGGGGCTAATGGCATTTGGTGCAAATGAGACTCCTATAGAACGTATGGGGCTGGTCGAGCTCCTTCTTATTTTTCTTTGTCAAGAAGCCTGCTCTCTCCTCTCGGCAGCTTCACCAGGGTGGCCTGCTTTGGTTATCTGCGGGAGGAGGGAAGGTCTCAGGGAGTTCAGGATTTTGTACCAATATTGAACGCCTGGGAGAATGGAAGCCAAGGTCAGGTTAAGAATAAAGAAAATTGATTTGGAGGTCAGGGTCACCATGTGAAAGGCCCTGAATGCTACCAAAATATTTTCATTATCGCTGTTTTTGTTATGGAAAAGACTGGGCCCTGTGTAAGGAGGCTGAGAGGTGAGAGCCAAGCCTAGAAAGGAGTGTGAGAGCAAGGAGGGGACCAGGCCCCAAGGATTTACTCGCTTTGCGGCCCTGAGTCTCTTTGCCTGCAATTTGCCTCCCTTGTATGAGTATGTGGATGGACAACGACGCTTTTTCAAACTGAACAGGGCAGTTCTGAACCCTCTCTCTCCTGGTGCAGAAAGGCCGGAGACAAACTCTCCCAGTGCTGTTTGCAGAAGTAAGCTATTTTATGCATCACCGTGACTCTACTTTTCACCCATGCCTACAACATATCTGCAGCGCGGGGCTGTATATTTTAACAAAATCCTGTTATTATTGGAGCTCTGACCCGATTTTGTTTCTATATTCTGAAGGAGAAAAGACTCCAGCGGCATGAAATTAGCAACACATTCTGCTAGTGTGTTAATTGTGTGAGAGTTTTTGGCAGGAGAAAATCTCTGAGCACAACACAGAATTTATTTTTTATTTAAATTTGGTAGTGATTTCATACTGTATTTAAAGAGAGGCACCATGGCTCAAATCACTTGGGATTTACTGTGCATTCAGAAAAAAAAAAGTCTGCCTAATGCAGTAGTGCAGAAGGAATTATGTAATTTTTTTTTTTACTTAGCAGGGAAGCTGCTAGTGTCGATTTCTAATTTGTTATGAGAAATTGGCATTCCCAGGCAGTGGTTTGGGACATCCTTGGGCCCCAGTGCAGTATTCAAATGCAGCTGTATCTGGCCAGTAGCAGATTACCTGCTTTGATAAAAGCAAATACACCCAGAAAATAGAAAGTCAAAATCTCCCAGGCCACAGTGGCTGTTTTTCTCTGGTACCCCTTCTGAATTTTCCCCAAA